CCTGGGCGGGCCCCTCACTGAGGACGGCCGGCGTGGCTGAGGGCTGTGGCTTGACAGCAGTGGTAAACGCTGGGCAGACCGGGCACCTCTGCTCTGGGCTGCCCGAGAGCAAGACGCTGGTCTGGGTCCTGAAGCTAGAATTAAGGCTGGAGATTCTGCAGCGGATTCCACTCTGGTGGGGTGGAGGGTGTGGTGGGAGGAGGATGGGAAGAGCATGATTTCCTATTATTTCGGATCAAAAACATTTGTGGTTGCAGGTGTTCTGCGGTCAATTTGCAGACAGAGATGAAGTGTTTGTTGTTTTGTACAAAGGAAAGTTGCTGGGTTAAAGTAGTCAGTAGCACGGTGTGGGCAGACCCACCCTGCCTCTGCAGGAGCCGCCTGCGCTCGCCCACCTGGTGATGGGGCGCGGGCACCGCTTGCCACCTGATGCAGGCTTTCAAGGGCACCCTCGGCTGAAGGGCAATGACTCTGACACGGGAACCAGGTCCACATCCCTCTCCCCTTCTGGCCCAAGCCGCTGCAGCTACTGAACACGTCTCTGCCCACGTGAAGAGGCACAGGCCAGGCACTGCCCTCCCAAGAGCCTCTGGCCTCAGCCGCCACACGGTGTGGCTCGGGACAAGGTGCGAACCACTGCTGAGACCCGAGCCCACGGAGCTGGTGAAGCATGCGGCCCTCTGCGTGTGCCACATGGTGCAGGTGGACTGGCCACCCCTGTACCATGGGACTGCATAGAAACTAGAGGGGCGCCACAGCACCACCCGCTAGGCCCCTGGAGGGGCGAGTGGCTCTGGCTGCGTGGGCTACAGCTTCCCCAGCACACCTGGTGCCTGGTGACTACGAAATGTCTTTTTTAAAAAAAACCCCGTGAAGAAACCGGGCTGCAAAAGGCATTTGCAGACCCCGGCCACAGCCGCTGTGCTGCCATGAGCCTTATCTGATCAACTACCAGGTCCCTGCACTTGGCAAATGGCAATCAGAGCCACTGGGGTCGGGCACCGGGGCTGCTTCTCGTGACCACGGATCCTATGTAGGAGATGGGTCTCGTGCATGGACTCGTCGAGCTAATTTTCAAAGTGAGGTTATTGTTTCTCTTCTTGTAGGATGAACTTTTTCATAGCAAGTCAGGTAAAAAAAATTTCCGTAAGAATCTGTCCCCCACCCCCCATTTCTAGCTCTTGGGAGAGCAAGGCCACCACCCAGCCCAGCCACGTGGCCAGTGTCAGCAGCCTCCTGTGGCCAAGGCACACGTGGCCACCAGGTGTCCTGGCTACTGGGACTAAGGACAAGTGAAGAGGTGAAAGGCCGAACATTAAACAGAGCTTCTGGCAAAGCCATATGCGTCGTGGGAACTTTAACACCAGCTTCTACTCCTCTATTAACTCAGAGTCTCCATCTGGAACACTTTCCGCTTAAGGCTTTTTATAAGTTTGACTCCAGCAGTGACAGGTATGTGTTGTTTTAAATCCACTAGCCATGCTCAAAAAAAATATTCTTCATGTTTTAATTTTATACAATGGCTAGCAGGCACCTTAGTAACCAGCCAGAAATCAATTTCAACCACCATCAACCCCTAAACTACAGTACCAGGATGGCTGGCTAAAGAAAGGAAACAGACTGGCTGTAGTCTGACGCGTGCCCAGTACAAGGTGTCTGGCTGACTTCGTCCTAAATAAGGCTAACATTAGTGAACTACGAACAGCGTCATGTGATGGTCGTTGCCTGGCCTTCAGGAGCACCCCTCCCCAATGCGCTGGCAGGAGCGCCCCACTTTGCGGTCCAGTTTCACCATTTTCATGATGGCTTCCTCTCGGCCGCGGCCCATGTGGTCAAATGTACAGTCATGCTGCTCAGGGAGGCGATGTAACATGCAGAACACGTACCCTGCAGCGGCGGGAGAAGCAGAGGAGACACTTGTTAGGGCTGGGGGTGACTGGCAGTCACAATAGGGCCTCTGGCTGCCAGGGTTTCCTGAGGCCTCACCCTGTGACACGGGTGCGGTGTCCTCAGAGACCTGCCCGGTCCACGTGGACCACAGCCGTGAGACAGCCCTTTCCCTCGGACCCGAGGGCTGGCGGGCAGGGAAGCAGAGCTACCAGCTCAGCACTCCATCAGGCGCCCACAAACCCTAACATCCACCTTTAGGACCCCCACCATTTCCAGGAGGCAGAGAGGGAGGAGAAAGGACTGTGGCCTAAATTACATTCTACCCCTGTGTAACCAGGCTCCAGCGGATGGTGTGCATGAGTCGGGGCTCTCGACAAAGAATGGATGACTTCGAGTCCTGGAGCAGGCAACAGGAGGGGCACCGAGTTCCAGCTGCCATCAGGAACTGGACGCTGAAATCCCCGAGAGGTGGGAGGTGGAGGTCCCCGCTCAGGGCTCCCATCTCTCGGCCCTCCCACACCTGGAGGCAGCCTGAGGCCCTCTTGAGGGAGGACCGAAGTCCAAGGGAAACGTTGGTCTGACCAGCAGCAGAACAAGTCTGAAGAGCGGTCACAGAGCGGGGTGACAGACAAAGGAAGAGAGCATCAGAGGACAGAGGGGAACACAGGCCTGCGAGAACTAGTAGCCCGTTCCCGCCCACCGACACATGGGTGTGGAGAGCACCTGCCACCCTCCTAGCCCAGGTCCACAGGAGCAGGCCCACAAGGGCAGCCAAATGGGTTCCTAACCGTGCTCTCCGTGTGTGCCCCAGGGACCCCCAGGCTAACGGCTCCCTCCACGAGCTGCCATATCCGTCCTGCAGCCTCAACTTTTGGTTTTTAGACGTGGAGGCTGTGATTTCAGAGGAACAGCAGAAGCTAAAGACTGAGTGGCAGGATGGATGAAAGTTTCAACGGCCCTAAAGTTTAAGATTCAGTGGCCATCACTTTTACATCCACTTCATCTACACAGCGTTCCTCAGCCCGAGGGAGGCAGTGCTCACCCTCTACTCTGAAGCATTGAGCTCAGGCCTGGCCAGGGGGTCCACTGTCAAGGAAACATACGAACTGCTTCCCGGGGAGAGCAGGGCAACGTGTCTGACGCTAAACTGGGACTGGGTTTACGGAAAAGAACAGAGATGAAATCTTGTCTCCTGAGAAGCCAACCTCCCACTCGGTCCAAAAGCAGAGTTAAGATTAATGAGCTCATGTGTTACAGTTACTGATAAGTTCATTACGAAGATATTGGACACCAGTTGTCTTTCTCCTAAAGGATTTCACAGCAGAAGCGTGCACAGCCTCAATATGCATCTTCCACTGAACAAGATTATCTTTCAGAGCAAATGGCATCGGGCTGTGTCTGTAGACATTTCTGACACCAAATCCTGACAAACTTCTGTACCTGCAGCATCCACACTGAGGAGAAAAAGACCCCTGCTACCCGCTCCCTTGTAGACACTGGGATGATTCGGGAAAAGGTCCCAGAGGCACTTCGCTCCCGATGAATGGTGCTGGCTGAACTAAGCCCACTCCTGGGTGAGCACAACACCTCCTTGGTCAAAGGCAGGAAGAGGAGAGGCTCCAGTCTGGCCCTCGCCTCCAACCCGATACTGCTCAGGCTGCCTCCCCCAGCTCCAGAAAGGGAAATGGAGAGTGTGACAACGCCGGCAGGCTTGCTGATGTTCTCTCCACCCAGGCACTCTACAACTCGCCAAAGTCCATTTCCATTCCTGCTTTGTAAGTTGTGAGCCTGTTAGACACTTGGCTTGGACTTCTGAACAGTGAAAACCGTGAGCAGCCCTGGTAACCATGGCAACAGACGGCACTGTGACTCCCTGGGAGGCGTCTCAGGCCAGCTCTGGAAGGCTGACTTCCCAGGCTGTGTCAGCGTGACTCACGAAGAGAAGTGACGCGCTGGAACTTGCTCCGTGTGCTATGAGGCGTGTGTGCTGCCTCAGACAGGACCCTGGGCGGAATGTGTCTTTATCCTCCTTTTGGCCTGTGCAGGTTTGTCTCCAGAACACTGCAAACGCATGAACTCCATGTGGCATTCTGGCGAGCTTGGAGACTCACACGTACACGGAGAAGGCACAGTCCGGTCCCGCTGTGCATAGGGGAGGCTGCTCCTGACTTCGAGGACGGACGCGGGAGAGCACAGAGAGGTATGCGGCCTGGCCTTGCCTAGGCCAGCCTCAGCGCTTCCTCCAGACACTTCACTAGAAACCAGCCGGGTTTCTTTACAGGGAGGGTCGAAGAAGGGGTGCCCAGAACTCATCAGGGGAATAATGACATCCACCCAGGGCATCGTGCAACTGTTTCCTCCAGACTTAAAACATTTATATATGAAAACTAAAATTCTCCCTCTCCCTTACAGCCTTATATCTGCCCTCTCCTTATGGCCCCACTGTTCACCAGCACAAAATTCTAAAACCAGTTTCAACGTACTTTCTGCTCACCACAGCCATGTAGCACATGGTGCTCTGGAGGGATGGGGCTGGGCGTAAGACTAAAGTGCTCATCCACAGGAGAGCTGGAAAACAGCCGGGCTGCTGTTTTCAAAAGCATGATCTGCCAGCGAAACGTGGTATAACCTCAGCCCTTCCCTGCCAGAGCTCAGGCTTACTGGATTCTGTGAATACTGCCCCAAGAGAAAGCTGCAGAGTTCCTGTATGGCAGTCTGAGCTGTTCTGAGTCCATCTGCACAGAATGCTCAAGAACTGTGTGGGCATCTCTGCTTGCTGGCACCGAGGAGCAATTTGGAACGAACCACCCATTAAAGGGAGGGCGAGGCGGCAGCTCTCCAAGCACTGTGTTCCGAGGCCCCACCACCCGCCCGGCTGGACTGCAGCTTTTCTCCACCGCCTCTGTCGGGGCTGCCACTGGACAGGAGGGGATGTGGAGAGGAGCACGAGGGAGGAGGCCTGACCGCACCTCCACCACGGCACGAAGGTCACCAGAGGGACCTGCCACTCCGACCTCTGAGTGAGAGGCAGCACCAGGAAGGGACAGGCGGGAAGGGGCTGCCAACCCAGGGACAGCAGGCAATGAAGGGGGAGCAGTGGCTCTCCTGACTCTGCCACTACCAGACACACAAGATGCCACACAAACCTCAGTCTGAAGTTCAGAGTCGTCACCCACCCTGAACAGAGAGGCCACTCGTGGGCCTAACGCACGTGTAACTGAGCCCCCCTGCGCAGATGTGGGGCCTTGGCACATGGACGTGAGGTGCCCGGGAGGAAAGGTGCCTGGACACGCACCGGGCAGAACACAGGCTCATTCTTCCAAGACTCCCAGCAGCCCGACCAGATTTCTAAAATCACTCATTTCATGGGAACCAAACTTCTGACCTGACCCTATAGCTTTTAAAGCCAGCACGAGACTTACGCAGTTCATTCAGATGCTCTCACCCACAGCTACACCTCACCACTGTGTATACAAGGTGGAGGGTTTTGTGACTAAGTCCACATCGCATATTGAGGGACTCTGCAGCTAAAATGCCTCGACACTGCACCACGTGCTGCGGAAGCTGTAACAGGATTTCCCACCAAAGCAGACCACACCCCCGGGAGCTGCCCAGCCCAGCCTGAAGGAGGTCTGCGCCCTTGTGTGGCAAGGAGCCCACTGTAAGAACCAGCCAGGTGGGCTCCTATCCTTGGCTGAGGTCCGGCCCCTCACCCCCAAGGCCAGCATTTCCTTCCACGCCAAACATCCTTCATCACGGAGCATCTGAGGGAGACAAAGTGATGCCAAAATTCACGATCCAATTTGAGCCTTTGACATTTTTATTTAATCCCTACCTGACACAAATGCTTGTTGGTTTCCTTGGAGTAAAAAGAACCACTTAAACTTGGCAAAACTGGGAAGTTCTAGACACTTTTAGAGTTTAATTAAATACTTGCTTTCTTGCAGACTCCCCCATGCAGGAGGCTCCTTCAAGTGTCTATTTTATTAAAGCCACAGATCGGGGCGGGCCTAGTTCCAGCTGCTCTGTGCTTTCACCTCGATTGCAAGAAATGTTTTACACTTTCTTGCTCATCTGAATTTCAAATTCTCAAAGGTTCAAGCAGAACCTAAAAATACTGATCAGCCACGGGGACTGAGGAGCTGGTGTGTGGTGAGGTGTGGTGGCGGTGCACTGACCCCAACTCTGCCGTGCGCTGCCCAAGGGCCCCTGGTGCCCCGCTGGGTGCAGTGTGGAGCCGAGACCACACCGGACATCCAGGTCCAAGGCAGGGCAGGGAACCGTGCAGATGCTCGCGGCCCCCAGAACCTATGAAACTCCCAACGCTCCCTGGGGCCACCTCCAAACCTCGACTCATTCACAGGTACCGCTTGCTATCTAAGAAACCAATGTGCCGGGCCGGTGTGTCCAGAACGACCAGGCAAGCTCGTGGAGAGGAGTCGTGCCCTTGCAGCAAGGGGAAAGTTCTCACTGCCCAGGACAGCTCGCTGACCTCACAGCTCATTTGTAAGTACACGCTGGAAACAGCAGGTGGTTATGGGAAGCCTGCTGGAAAGCAGTAGCCGTTTATGGTCCAACCAGCAGCAATCCCTAGATTACACCACATCTGCTGACCCAATGCCCAAGGCAGAATGTGTAGCACAGAAAGGTACCAACAGACCTGAATGCATTTTATTTCATCAGGCCCATGGTACTAGCAGAGCAGCTGCAGGTGTTGCAGGGATGCAGTGTGTAGACTTTACATCCTCCTCCGCCCCTGGCTTCTCATGTACAGGGGAGATTATTACAATGCAAGAATCAGAACTGATCCCGGCTCAGTGAACTGGCCGATGCAGTGCACTGCAGGGCTGGAGAAGAGATGGACAGAGGTCGGCTGTCCAGGGCTCTAGAATCAGACCTACAGTGAACCACCATGCTGGGCATCTGTCTCTCAGAGGGAGGGAGAAGTTGCAATTTAGAAAAGCCCATTCTACTCCTTCACAAGTTAATAAAAGCCA